AAAAAAAAAAAAAAAGATTACAGCCAAGAACACCTACTGTTATGGATTGAACTACATGCCCCCGACATGTGTCTCAACTTGACTAGGCCCCGTGATTACCAATAGTATGTGGTTGCCCTCCATTTTGTGATCTGATGTAACTATCCTATATTTAGGATGATTGTTGAAAATCCTTCCCTCCAATGTTATATAAGCAGGATTAGGATAGTGTGTATCTTGAGTTACAACCTTACAAGAGTGTAAGTCAGACCTTTTATCTTACAGGAGAGAAAAGGTAAGAAGAATGAATGAGTAGAGAGGAGTGGGATTTTATCACCAACTAGAAAGGAAAGCCATGAAGTGAGCACATCCTATGGATTGATGCCAAGACATACAGAGAACTCCCAGGAATGCTGAGCCAGCAGACATTGGGAGGAAACAAGAACCGCCCTTCCCGAGAGCCAACACAGAGAAAAAGCCTTCCCCTCGAGCTGACACGCTGAATTTGGAGTTTAGCCTTCTAAACTGAGAGAACTGAATCTGTGTGTCTTCAAACCATCCGTTTGCGACGTTCATGTCACAGCAGCACTACAGTAGGGCACCTCTGGTCAGTTCTACTCTAGAACACATAACGGTGCCTCGAATGGGAATTGACTCAAGGGCTAATTGCTGTCCTTTACATAGCATGTGGTGAATACTTGATAAAGTATTAGTCTATTGTATAATATAAAATCTTTGCATTTATCCTCCACACAGTTCTTATAGGAGCCTTGATTTGTCTGAAAATGCCTCTCCTATAGCATGATGAGGGGATTGCACTTAGATGTTACATATGCCAACGTCATGGGAAAAAGCCTTCCTAACTCACAGGGAGAGTCAGAAGCATCCTGGGGCAGAGAGCGCGCTCACCTCTTCATTCTCGATTTTGAGTGTGGCCAGTCGTGACTGCAGCTGTTGGTACCTGAGCATGAGCTCTGCCTGCACCGGCTGCTGAGCGCTGACTTGACAGACCTGTGGGCAAAGAGGTGGCAGTTACTAAAGGGTGCACTCAGGCCGGCCTCCAGAGACGCTGCTCTCCCCTTCAAAGGCCAGATGAAGCACGCTGACCTCTGCGAGATGCCAATGACATATTTACTTTCAACCGCCGCCTCAGAGATCCCATTTTAAATACAGACCTGCCACATAAGCGGCAAGAGCAGCACGCAGCTGCCTGGCCTGGATGTGACTGGAAAGAAAGCAGCTGCAGGAAGCATCTCTCCAAGAACAGGGCAGTTCCTGGGGGCAGGGCTGAAGTCACCCTCACAGGGATTCCTTCAGAGAACAGACTGCAAAGGAGGCTCCCTCCTGGCATGTGTGAGGATGGCAACAGAGCGTACTGGTTCAGAAGGTGAGGGCTTTCTCACCTGGAAGTTGGGGGTCTGAGAACGCCTACACCGCAGCTCTTAGTGGGGCATAAGGAGGACTCAGAAATGAGTGATTACTGTATCTTTCAGTCACTATCAGTGGCTGGCACACATGACGGATTTCCCTTACCAATACCAATCAAATCACAGGATTCATCGTGCATTTGATGAGGCCACTTCTCTTGGGCTTTGGTAAACAGTATTTTGGCTATGGCCTCAAAGATGGATACGCCCCTAAATTATTTCCTCTCATCCCCTAATCATAGAAATGCTCTCAGCTGAAAGGGAGCCTTTTCTGGAGTCTCCAGAAAACCAGAGAGAGTACTACTCATTGGCAGAAGCAGTGATAAAATAAAAAGGGCAACAGACTCACTTGGTTAAAATAATCATAAACATTATGGAACCAAAAAAAATAGATTATGGACCCTTGTCTGTGGCATTTTAGCATTTCATGTTTAATAACGGAAAAAACAAAGCATGACAACCACTTGATTTTCAAATGGTTAAGACGGGGTGGAATAAGCCCACCATCATGCTTGTCAAAATTCATGCACTACTGCATAGACTGCTTACCATTTTCAATGATGTAATTTACACAATCAAATCAGCAAAAATGGAATTAGATGGGAAATACTGAAGGCATACATAAATGGATATATATATATATATATATGCTTTGGATATTTTCAGACAAATTATGACATTAAATAAATCTGTCATGGTATTATCATTACATCTATTTTGTAAAAACACATACAAACAAACAAAAAACCTGCCATCATGGTAAGCTACAATTGTTTTTTTCTCTGGTAACATTTTAGGCAGTTGGATGCCACACACTAGATAGCGCACTCCATTAACTGGTTCTTGTTTTCTTCTTCCACTGACAATAATGGAAACAAGTGTAACTTATGATTACCTTAACTTGATTTTTTGTTTTGGGTAAATATTATAAAAGCTAAATTGATATAAAGAACCCAAGGCTTAATCTATCATTTCTAATGCTTATTCTCCCAGCTTGGAGCCAACCTGAGTCAAAGTGATGATTTGCATGGTTTATTTATTCCCTCTCCACTTTTTCCTTCCATTCAGTTATTTTTTCAGTAGAGACAACCTTAAATCAGGAAGGCTTCACACAGATTCTCCTGGACCAGCAGAGTGGTTAGTTTCTGTTTTTTTCCCCCTTTTAATCGTTTTATTAGGGGCTCATACATCTCTTATCACAATCCATACATACATCAATTGTGTAAAGCACATTTGTACATTCATTGTCTTCATCATTCTCAAAACATCTGCTCTCTACTTAAGCCCCTGGCAGCGGGCAGGGCTACTTCTCCACAAATTCTAATTAAAAAAACTAACCACAAAACCTGGTTAGTTTTTTTAAATTAGAATTTGTGGAGAAGTAGCCCCACTCACTCAGTGCTCTCAGCCTGGCCAGTCTACACCTTGATCTGCTTGACCCTGGCTTTAAAGGGTGGTAGGGGTTTATCTAAGGATCCGTGGTGGTGCAGTGCATTAAGTTTGGGCTGCTATCTGCAGAGTCAAGGGTTCAAATCCACCTGGTGCTCTGCAGGATAAAGATGAGGTAGTCTGCTCTCATCAAGGTTTACCGCTTTGGACATCTCAGGAGCAGTTCTACTCTGTCCTAAAGGGTCACTGAGTCAGAATTGACACAGTGGCAGTGAGTGAGTGGCTGATCTTCATATTCTGTTCAGGGGCATTAGGGAAGAAGCACCTGTGACTTCTTCAGACAGGTTATAGCAGATGGAGAGAAAGAGATAATATGTTAACTTTAAAATAATCCACTACTGACCTCATCCCCCATGTGTGACTGGAACTCAAACTTCATTGGTGGGCAGAACGCAGCAGGGTACATCTCCATGAATCTCTGCTTATCACTCCGGGGCTCCAAATTGTCAACTGCATTCTCAATAATGTCCAAGCCTTCATGTCTGGAGGTTTCAAGGTTGTACTCCGCAGAGAGATATGTTCTTAAGGCTCTGTTCAAACTTGCATGGTAGCCAAGATCACAGCACTTAAAACAAAAGTATACCACATGCAAAAATTTAACTCAAAATAGGTTACCTCAAAAGGGCTAAAACTGTAAAACTCATAGAAGAAAACCCAGATATAAAGTCTTCACAATCTTGAATTAAGCAATGCTTTCTTATATATGACACCAAAATCATACGCAACAACAACAAAATGACCTACTGGGTCCCATCAAAATGACACGTTTGCATTTCTAAAGACATTATGGAAAAAAGGAAAGGCAAACCACAGATGGAAGAAAACATTTGCACGCATTGTATAAAGGGCTCATATCATTAGCCACGGGAAGTGCCCATCAAATCAAATCACAGTGACTTTCCACTTCACATCCAGTAAGATGACGATTATAAAAAAGACAATAAGGAGTAGGAGGAAGCTATGGAGAAACTGGAACCATGTACGCTGCTGAGGGTGGGAAGGTAAAATGGAGCAACAGGGACAGAAAACAGTCTGGTATGGCCTCAAATTCAGTTACCAAAATGATCCAGCAACTCCATTCCTAAGTATACAGATATGTATATTTGGTTCACATCCACAGTAGGTTCTGTGAAAGTGGACACTTTGCAAGTTGGAGGTTATGTGAATACCATACTATTTGCAGGAGAGAAGCATGCAGGATGGTCACTGGTGCGGCTGTGACCTCTTCTGCCAACTCTGATGAGGGACTGCGCGTACAATTTTGGCTCCACAACCACTGCATGGTGGCCGCCTGGTCTTCAAAAACCATACTCTCAGCCCTTTCCTCCTGCCCCATGTTACAGTGTGTGCTTGCCGTCTAACCAGGGGGCTGCCCAGTCTTGCTGCTAGCTCCTTCCTCTTCCTTCCTTCTTCCTTGCCTGCCTGCCTTTCCTGTTCCCTGAGTGGGCTTTAAACTCTTATTACTCCTCCTTCCCCAGGCCACCTGTCCTGTGTCTGCTCCAGCCATCAGAGTTGGCCTGACGTGAGGCAGCTGCCACTGTGAGAAGGTGTGGCCTTTGGCCTGGGTATCATACATAGGGTGCCTGGTTTGAGATGGGGTAGTAGCTGGGGCATTTCTACTCAGTGGCTCCACAGCATCTGCAGGGATCCTGCCTGAGGTGACAGTGGCAAGATAAGCAGCTATAAATGGACAGTGGGACCCCTTTTCCCCTGTCACCCCAGGTCAAGGCAGATGCAGGGCATGGAGAGCTAGTGAGAGACAAATCATACCTCTGTACTTATTGGCAAAGAATACTCCCTGTGTACAATTTTTCAATTTGGCTATCTGAACTATATTATATCCTTATGAGATCACAGATCTCTATGTGGCTGGACATTGTCTGAATGGACATCAAGCGATGCGTTCTTACAACCAAGAGAAAAGAAGACATTTGCCTGTGCAAAAACATGTACATGAATGTCCACAGCAGCATTATTCATAATACCCCCAAAGTAGGAACAATCCAAATGTCCATCAACTTTTGAATGGATAAATAACACGTGGCTGATCTATATGATGGAATATTATTCAGCAATAAAAAGGAAATCCTGATACACACTATGATATGGATGACTCTTCAAACTACTAGGCTAAATGAGAGAAGTCAATCAATAAGACCTTTTATATGAATCTATGAATCTGACATGTCGTGATGATGTAAATTTATGGAGACAGACAGATTAGTGGTAGCATATGGTTGGGGTGGGATTAAGAGGAACTAGGGGTGTAATGGATAATGGTTAAGCAGTTTGGGATTTCATTGGGTGGGGGTTAAAATGTTCAAAAATTGTTCTGATTGATGCACAGCTCTGTGCATATACTAAAAGGCATGCAATTGTATATTTTAAACAGTTCATGTCAATTTTGTATTTTAAAAATTTTGGCTCACATAGGTTGTCAAAAAATAAAAGCCACAAACTCAAACCCTGAAGGAAATTAATGAAAGAGTAGTATTCACGTTTCATCTATGCACAAAGAGATATAGGATGATGTACTGAAAGCCTAGGATGCAAATACAGTTGTCAATCGGCTCTAGGCTCAAACTGTCTACTACTCAAACAGTAAAGTGAGAATACAGTCTGCTCAGAGTTCGTAACTTTGCACAATAGTTAAACTGAAAATCTCACTTGCAAAAACCTGTATGGGCCAAGAGTGAGTTATGTGGCTCCTCCTGTCATGGACACAAAGGGGTGACAGTTCAATCTAAGTGCTGTTCTTGCTCAGACAACATGTAGTGCTTGTATTAGTGTAAGGTGTTGATGGGAATAGGTATCAGAAGTTAAAAAACAAGCAATCAAAACAATGTGAAGAAGTGGAAACCCACCTGTAAGATAATTGGACAGGCCACACGGATGGGATATATATCCAGGGTGCAGTATAATACAGATGAAACACATAATTATCCTCTAGTTCTTTAATATTTCCTCCCCTTACTATTATGGTCTT